CCCCAAAACCCCAAAACCCCAAAACCCCAAAACCCCAGTAACTTTAATAAGAATTGAATCTTCTAATTCATATAAAATGGGCAATGATGCCAAGTATCTATGCGTTTACTTTGCGGTTTTGATCTTTTTAATCAAAGCGATGGTGTCGACTGGCTCACCGTCTGGGAAATCGAAGTGATGTAAAGCTTTGAATATGCCATATCCAGCAAGATCTTGAGTCTCAAGCATCTTCTCAGGAGGAGCTTGCTCTCCATAATGCATCCTGTTGACCACGACTAAGCTGACAGCTGAAGCATGGATATCTTTCTTCTTTGCCATGAGAGCAGTCCCGATAACTGTATGGGACTCCATATCGATTGTCTTAGCTTTAGGGTACTTTTTAAGGATCTCATTGATTAGATTCTCATTCTTGTCAAGGAACTTAGTGTGATATCTTGCCTGACTACTATAGAAGGAGTCTGAAGTTCCCAGAAGACCTTCTTTGCACTGTTCTGGGTTCATGAGGTTGTTCTTAATAGCCTTCTTAAGGTGAGCGTTAAGCAAATTGTCTGATCCAGCAATATCAGAGATCCTGTAGTAGTCCTTGGTGTCATCTTTTCCATATTTTGACTCAAGATCAAAGGTAACATTGAAGGCACCGTCTGTGCCTACTACAACATCCCCTTCGGCACAGTTAGAGATACTGCAGCATGAGCCATATCTGACACAAGCCATTGGGCCGTCAAGGTGAATTTTAGTCTCTCTCATAGTGAAATCAATCATAGGTTGTCCCATTCCGCTTGCAATAACTGAGATTGGAGTTCCCTTAAACAGTCCTGTATAAGTAATGAAATGTCTAGGAGAATTGATCTGTCTAACTTCATTAGGGTTGTCAAAGAACTTGGAAAGCCTGAAGGCTATCTTCTCATCCGAACAAATGATGACCCTATTGGCTATATCTCCCTTCTGAGTACCGAGATGCATTGTTTTGCCAGCAAATAGTGGGAAAGATGCTCTGATATCCAACTCTCTGGGTATCTTGTTTTCTGCCTTTCTGTCTCTCTTCTTAAGGATCTTCTTAGGCTGTGGTGGTGGAGCGACTGCCTCCTCTCCAGAGGAAGAATGCTCCTTCTCTTCTTCAATGATTGAGACTACTTTCTTGTTCTTAGCAGCTCGTTTGGTGGCAGCAGATCTTTTTCTTTTGGGCATCTATTTAATTTTTATTTGGATACAACCATCACGAAGTAATGGGGTTTTGGGGTTTTGGGGTTTTGGGGTTTTGGGG